TATATATATATACTTACTATTATTATACTATTACGTAGTTAGTAACTAAATAGTATACTTAAGTTAGTTAAGTTTAACGTTTTAATTAATTAAACTTACGTTTCCGATGGGTTTCTGAGGTGCATCTGTAGTTCTACATTTTAAGGTTGCAACCTTATATAAACTTTTTCTATTTTATAATTAGTTATGAAAATAGATTTTCAGATAATCCTAATAATTTTTTACACCGAAATTAGATGTTATGATAACATTTGGAGTGCACCTTAATTGGATTGTTTAAGGTTGCAACCTTATAGAAACCACAAGAACAAAAGTTTACATAAAGTTGCAACCTTAAAATGTAGAATTAAATATGCACCTCAAAAATCCTTCAGAAAATGTTGTTTTAATGTTAAGAAACCCTCTAGTTGATCATCTCGACATTGAGATGCATTAATATTGAAACAAAAAAAAAGATTTTGAGTCCCATAAATTATGCATCTTGCAACACATTATCTAGACCATCTATTTTCAAGATTTTCATATGTTTATATATCTACTTAATTTTAACCATTTTTTTAGTTTAAAATTTTATAATTATATATCAAAATTGATTTTCTGATAATTCTAATAATTTTTTATACCAAAATTATATGTTATGATAAAAATTGGACGAGCGCCTTAATTGGATTATTTAAAGTTGCAACCTTATAGATACCAGACCCTACCACAAAAAAATTTAAATATGGGCCTAATTTCCCCTTAGGGCCTGTTTGGGTAGGAGGAAATTAGGAATCTTAGATATTTGAAATTCAAGGAAACCTATGGATTCCAATAGCACGGATTTTTGTCATGGATTCCTCGAATCTTTTGTTTGGATAAACTATATAAAATTCATGGATTCCTTGCATTCACTTCCATGTCCATTGTTTGGTAACAAAACTTGATAAAATTTATCTTTCTAAAATTTTTATATACTTTCTCTCTCTAAAACTCAAAATTTGGGATAGTGTATCTATAAAAATTTTGAGATAGTTTCTCTCTAAAATTTGATATGGTTTCTTTTTCTAAAATTTAATATACAATCTATTCTAAATTTAAAATTAGAATTGTTTATCTAAAAATTTTGAGATAATTTCTCTCTCTAAAATTTTTAAGTGCTTACTCTCTCAAAAATTTAACATGGTTTCTCTTTCTAACATTTTAAGATACTCCCTTTAAAACCTAAAACTCGATATAGTTCCGCTCTTTAATAATTTTGAGATAGTTTTTCTCTCTAAACAATTTTAAGTAGTTTCTCTATCTAAAATATGATATAGTTTTTCTCAAAGCTAAAATTTGAGATAATTTCTCTCTAAAAATTTTGCGATAGTTTCTTTTTCTAAAATTTTTTTATTTATTTTCACTCTCTAAAATTTGATATAGTTATTCTCTTAAATTTTAATATGCTTTCTCTCTCTGAAACTTCAAGTTTTAGAAAGTTTCTCTCACTAAAATTTTGAAATGGTATAGTGTCTCTCTAAAATTTGATATATTTTTCTCTCTCTAAAGTTTAAAATTTGAGATATTTTCTCTCTATAAAACTTAAATTTTGAGACAGATTCTCTCTCTCTCTAAAAATTTCATATAAATAGTTTCTCTCTAAAATTTTGCGATAGTTTCTCTCTCCAAAAAATTTGCGATAGTGTCTATTTTTAAAAAATTTTAGGTTTTCTCTCTCTAAAATTTGATTTAATCTCTATATGTAAAATTTTAATATATTTCCTCTTTCTAAAATTCAAGATAGTTTCTCTCTAAAAATTTTTGGCAGCTTTCCTTTTTAAAATTTATAATGGTTTCTCTCTAAAATTTTAAGAATATTTTATCTCTCTACAATTTCAATAATAATTTATCTCTCTAAAACTTAAGACTTGATATAGTTTCTCTCCCTAAATATTTTTGAGATAGTTTCTATCTCTAAAACTTTTTAGGTACTCTATCTAAAATTTGATATAATTTTTCTCTCTAAAAATTTACATGTCTTTCTCTCTCTAAAATATGATTGTTTCTCTTTAAAACTTAAATTTTCATATAATTTATCTCTCTAAAATTTTGAGATAGTTTATCTCTCTAAAAAATTTGGTATTCTCTCTCTAAAATTTGAACATACTTTCTCTCTATATAATTTTAACATACTTTCTCTCTCTTAAAGTTAAAATTTGAGATAGTTTCTCTTTGTAAAATTTTGAGATAGTTCATCTCGCTAAAAAAATTTTTACTTTCTCTATCTAAAATTTTAACATACTTTCTCTCTC